AAAGGTGGGAAATTTTTTTTATATGTGTTTTTTTTTTTTTTTTTTTTTGTTTGTTTGTTTGTTTGTTTTTAATACATTTGCAAAGATTTCAAACCTTTTTCACGTTGTCATTATGGGATATTGTTTGTAGTATTTTGAGGACAATAATGAATTTAATCCATTTTTGAATAAGGCTGTAACCTAACAAAGTGTGGAATAAGGCAAGCACTGTGAATACTGTCTGGATGCACTAGAAGTCTCAAAGTCCTTTAGGGTGTGACCAAGGTCAACTGAGTACATGTAAGGCAAGCTCTTGTTCACAGTGCACTGTTCCTTTAGGATTTAAGTAAAATATTTAAAAAATTTACTAAATTTAGAAGTTCTCACTTTGTGTGCTATATTGGCCTTCTTCCTGGTGCAAGAAAACCTAATTGATGTTTATATATACTTTTTTTTTTAATTTTTATTTCCAATCGGAGGACAACAAACTCACCTACACAATCAGGGTCATGGAGCTCATTTTCATAGTACATTGTCTATTCAATAGTGAGGCCAAAGTAAATGTTGGTCTCACTATTGAATTGACCTAGACAATATTAACTTTGTGATATTTAGGTATTTTATTGAACAATGAATCTAGTAAGACTTCCACTTTATGCACTATGAAAACAAGCTTTTTGACCCTGATTACGTGCACATACCAGGTGTGTTTATTGTCCTCTGACTGGAAGGTTCTTCCCTGGGTCGGTTCCTTGGTATATACAGTTTGGCCGGGCTTGATAGTAAGCTGGGCGATTCTGTTTTTCCTGATGAAGGTCTTTGAACCAAAACACTGACTAAAGTGAGTACAAGTGATGAGCAGTGTGCAAGATATGTATTTTTTTGGGTTTGGAAAAGAGTTTTAGATACATTTTAGATATCTGGCTTTCTCTGTGAGATGCTGCTCTGTAGGAACACTGAACATGATTAACTCTGAACAGGCATTCTGTTGTAAATGTGAAATCTTTGTCATTCACGCGTTTCCTAAAATCTTTTTCTCTTGTTTCAATAGCACAGTGAGGCGATTCTCAGGAAGGCAACTGGACACAGAGATTGGAATGCGAAACACGTCCTCCAAAACAAGCTCCCAGAAAGCCTTGCTTGAAGAATCGGACGAAGAGTGAATGCTTTCTTATAATTTATGAAGTTGTGACTTTTGAGATTATATTTAGGTAAAATACCAACAGAGTAACTGGTCTTTTATTAGTTTGTCAACCACTGAAGGAAAATGTAACCAGAGTTTCTATGGAAAGGCTGCAACCTACCTGAACATGGTTCTCATTGTAAAACAGCTCGCTTTGCTTTTTACAATTATATTTTGGATTTAATGATGCGGAGAATAAGATTGTGGAGATGAAATTTAGTTGAGGAATGATGACAGTTTAATAAACTGATAACTTGGCATAGATCAATAACATTCAACAAAGAAAGTGTAGATCTGAACACCAGCCCATTGCATTTACAGAGAAGAATTATGCTTCAGGCCTTAGTGGGTATCATCCAAATTGAGAAGAAATAAAGGAATATTATGCAATATAACAATAAAAAAAATATAACGCCACTTGTGAGAGTAGAAACAAGTCAAACTACCCTTATAAGGCTTGAGAATAAACATATCTAATAACCAAACACATGTACATATATTGTGCACTGGATTTATGATTACTGTTGCTGTGCAGGTGGGGGATCGGGTGCACATTTGGGTGAAGGTGCTTTTGTGACTACAACTGTGAAAACAGATTTTGGGAAGCCTGCTGCGGTGTGCTGCTGTAGCTGCTGCGCCTGAACAGTCTGGATGCAAACCTAAAGGTGGAGAGATGAAGAGTTACCTTGAACATGCCCTGTGTTTATTTAGGTTGTGAGCTATGTTTAGTCATAACACACTGACTGAGAAACTTTCAAATGATGCCTTCAGATAACATGAGTGACATATTAAAAACCTGCTTTGCTGTGATATTAGTATAGACTTATTGTATATGACCACAAAGCAAGGTACTGGATGAGAATTTGTTTTGATTAAACAGGTGTAATAAAACACATTATTCCCTTTTTCTGGTCAGTGCTTTCTAATTTGTGAAACTGAACAAAGGTGAAATGTGAGCTAACCTGAGTGGCCTGCCCTTGCTGCTGAAACTGCTGTGCTGTGACAAAGCTGACTGGTGTATTCCCAGCAAACAGCTTTGTGCTAGCTGGCATCGTGGTCAGGATGATGATCCTCCCCAAACTGCTGATACTGCAGGGGAAGGATAAATACATGTCAGTCTACTAGCCCAAATTACAGCCTGTAAAAAGAGTGTCTATCAAAAAATAAATATACAATTCATTTTGTCACAATATAAACATTCAAAGAAAAAAAAAGACATGACAGTGCACATGATGAGACTTACTTTATGTTAAGACTTCCTTTCACTGGTCACTACACTTGCTCTTCAGTGGCTGGTTGAGGACAGAGAGGGGCACAGAGATCCATGCAGGTAACTTCCCCTACAATGTTGTCAAAGAAGAGGAAGGTTTTGTGTCACATGACTTTCAGACTTTGTGGTTAACTACTGAGACCTGACTGAGGAGAGTTTCTTAAATCAAAGGATTAATAAAGGCATCCGAACTAATTGTAAAGTAAATAATCCCATTTCTGAGAAAGTAATACACAATATTCAGTACTGCAATGACTAAAATACACAATTCCAGTACATTTAGTCCTGTTAGTTAACCTACTGGCAACATGTGTTTAAAGTTATTGTTGACAAAGCAGGTTGAGCCAGTTAACAAATGCAGTGGATCACTGACTATCCATCAGCAATGTAACTGTTTAGAGGTGTGTACAGTATAAACAAAGGTGTTTTATTTGCTTAAGCAAACTGTGCTTGTTTAAACAAGAAAAATAATTGCACAGTTTATTTCCAATTAATGCAAGAAACCAATTCCAAATGGTTTAAACATCCTTGTTTGCCACTATGTATATTGGAGCATTTCTATTCGATGTTCCTACAGTGTCAAATTCTCTTACTGTTTGTGTAGTAACCACTGTAGCAGGGACCTGGAGCACAGTGGCTGAAGCTGTTCCTAGAGTCAGAGGTGAGGCCAAGGCTCACTGGCAGCCATGGTGACTACATTAGCACACGTAGATGCTGTGAGTGGTTTATTACCAGTGGCGGTTGTCATTTTGATGGTCTGACCATGTTTCTGAGGAATAACACCGAGACCTGGCATTATCCGAATGGTGGTGCCACTCCTGCTCCCCTAGTTCAGTTTTTTCTGTTAAGAAATAAAAAGTCTTTAAGCATTATATTCGCTGTGCTCAAAAACAAGAGAAACATCATATGGATATTACAGAAATCACTAACCAGCAGTCTTCATATCTTGGGTGGAGAAGCTGGGAAGAGCTCTCAGTGAGACAGTGGGTGTCGGAGAGGAAGGCGATTGTGGTGCTGGAGTCCACAGTGATACTGTATGTCTAGAACAAATCCAATAAGACATGCAAAAGAACAAGTATGATCACTTTTATAAATCAGCTCTTTGGCACTTGATAATCTTGTAAGTTTTCTAATGAATGTTTTAAACTATCATCATTTTGCACTTTTCATTTTAAAGATTTCATATTCACACTGCATACATCTACCATTGTTTGTTGCTACTGCTTAAAAGCTACTGTCGGACTTTATCTGTCCTGCGTGTTCTTATATGAAGAATAATCGGAGTCAAATATCACCTTTCCAACATTTATTATCATAATTGAATAGACCATCGAATAAAGCAATTTACAGAGCTCTGGGTTCCATTTATCTGAAGCCCTACCAAACAACAACAAAACATATTTTAATGGGGCTTTCGGGGTGTTTGAGATGCTAGAAAAGGTGGTTTTACCAGTGATGGTGCAAAATTGACATTGTTCCTGACTTTTTCAGAGCAGTGGAACACTGTCCTCCTACACTTAGTTAATTTTATACAATTTGAATGTGCAATTGTAGGCTGGTCTGGTCCTCTCATGCTGTTCCATTGGTCCATCTATCCGTCCGTCCTCCTCCTGCGTCCTTTCTGCTCCAATGGGAAAAGGCAGCTTCCTAAAGAGTTCACGTACTCTGAGCAAATACTGAATGCCTTTCGCATTCTCACCCTCTTGAGGTGGAATTCTACACAGCTCAACAGAGTGCACCTGTACTGGGAATTTCTGGGTCATCATCAGCCAAAACTGATGAATTTCAGTATAGAACGAAGCATTATCATCATCCTCAGTAGTGTTTTCCATCAATTCTACCTCCTGTAGCGTACTCATGTCTTGAAGGCTAAAAGGAGTGTAGGCTTGTGTTATCGCTCCACAAAGTGAGGTGGACTGAAACAATGGCAGCTTGTGTGTGGAAATGTCAAAAACAATCACACATATTTCCTCGCCCTCTGTGCCTGCTCACAGTGGCATCAAGGTCAAGTACTCATCACTGTGCCTGCCTTAGGTTGTCCCGAGATTTAGCAGGGGGATCTTACCCGTCATAGGCGAACCAGCCTTCCATACTTGCCTATTAATTAAAGTCAGACTTTTAAAATCTTTCTTAACCTCCCTGTACAACCACCAGGGGCGCTATGCCCTGTGTTGCACTCTGTGGCATCTGTCTAGATAAGCCACTCTTCAGTATCAGCTTCCGCTCTCCACTTCGATATTGTGGGTAAGACGACTGTGTGTGTGTATTTGAACTGTACTTTGCAATCTCTGGTAAGATGTGCAGCTGGCACTGGAATGTCTGTGTCTGATTGTATAACAGTGCCACTTGGAGAATTGACTTCAACTGTCCCATGTGACTTGCTTGAACTGGCTGAAAGAGACTGAAAACACTTGAAACTTAAAAAAAAAAGCATGTACAACCAGCAAGAAAACTCTCAGCCTTTTATTTTTCCACCTGGCTTCAACTGTATTTCTTATCAAAGAGGTACAGCTACTAAGTTTGCAGTCTAGCTTTCTCAGCAGAAAGCGAGGCTCACTTCACAAATAGCATCCCCTTGTGGGGGAGGACTGTCACTGTCTGCAAACATGCCCTTCTTCTACATCTGTAGGACCCAGGAAATAAAACGATCTCTTGCTGTGTCCTGCTCATCTTTAGAAACTGTATTTAACCATTTAGACAAAAACTTATAGAGTACTGCCCCCAAAGAGTAAGGCTCGGTATTTTTCCACTCTTGTACAACATTTGCAGACATATTAAAAATTATGTACACGTGACTGACGTTCCAAGTGAAATGGTCTCTGCCCAGAACCTGCTTGATTCGGTCGGGGACCTTCTACACCAACTAGGTTGGTGCGCCCGATTGCTGGGGGTTCACCCAATCAACAGTTCTGTTTTAATTCCGTCACCCTAAATTTCTATAAAACAGTTTTCCCATAGACTATGCCCAGCCCCCAAAGACAGTTCTGCCAGAGGCACACTGTGTCACATCGAATTCTCTCCGTAGCACTTATTGTCACTAAGATGCACATGACAGTGTTCAACAGCCTTCGTGCAGCAAACCACCCACACAAGTATATTAATTACCCACAGACAATGCCCAGCCCCCAAAGACAGTTCTGCCAGAGGCACACTGTGTCACATCGAATTCTCTCCATAGCACTTATTGCCACTAAGATACACGACAGTGTTCAACAGCCTTCGTGCAGCAAACCACCCACACAAGTATATTAAAAATAAAAAAATATTTCCCTGTGCCCTCAATCATTTAACATACAGCGGTGATCGTCTTATAAATATTTAGACATTCAGGAATGTGCTCCACTCGGAGAAGGGCTCTGCCTCTGATTTCTGCCTTCAGGAAGCCTGTTTTCCCACCGGAGCAAAAATCATAATAATTTTGGAGACGACGTCAAAATTTGTGGTTTTCCACTTATTAATGTGAGTTTTATGTCTCTGATAGTCATCAATTGGTAACTAGGGCACTTATTTCTCTGTCCCTCAAATGAGACTATGTGCTTGTAACTTTAAGATGTGGCATAAACAAAACAGCACATTTCAAAATAAAAGTGTTATTTTATCCTTACTGTAATCATTCAATTTTAGATCGAGAATTCACAGTCCACACAGATCAACTAAATTTGGCAAAGTCCAATGTGCAGGATTTGTGTGTAAATAGGTTTCCTGCTCACCTGTTTATTGTCGGCCGATGTTGATCTGTGCAGTCCGTTCGCTCACGACATGGAATCCAGCGAGCCGGTTCAGACCGTCCACTCAGAATTCAGCCAATTCCGATGGTCACACCACCAAGTTGCTATACGCCAGTTCTTTTAATGAACACAGAAAAACACTTATTACTACAGAATCACACAAAAGCTAGATGTAATCTGTGGACAACTGATGCATTCTAGTTATTCGACTTGACAATGTTGGGAAACATTAACGTTAGCATGAATTCAAAACATTAGCTAGACATTGTGTACTGCAGCTAAGTTAGTAAAACAGCCAGTTACAACTTGGATTTTGACTTTCAACAATGTTATACCCCAGTTCTTTTAATGAACACATCTGAATGAAGACGGAGTCCGACTTGCTTCATTTTAGTGCTGGTTTATTTAAAAAAAGACCACAAATAGAAGTTACAGAAGCACAAACCCGGGTGGCTCCCTCCCTCAGGCAAGCTGCTGGAGAAGAGAGACCCCGGAAACACAGAGCCTAATACATTTATAAGATTTTGGACTAACCCCTTACACAGACAGCTGTAAAAACATCAGGAGTTGGAGACAGTCCGACGTCTCCTTCTCTTATCTTATGCTCAGCATGCTTGGAGCAGCTGGACATAACAAAATGAAGAATTCCGTGTATGTGTATGTTGTTTGCGTGATGTGTAACTAAAACATCCATTCAGACATAATTCTTACACAAGATTAATACAATAAAACAACTGGTGTCAAGGTACACTTTTCAGAGTCAACATTATCTTCCAACCTTGAAACAGAGCAGACTGGAGCAGACTTTGAATCTTACTAAACTGCATTACTAACACACATTAAATAATAATTATCTGACTAATTTATTAATTTCTAACAACAATATGTTATTTTTGTGCGGCATATACACAAATACCAATATTATGCTATAATAATACTACTGTGTTTAAAATGATAATGCTCTTACCGAACAGTTTTTTTTGTTTTTGCAATTATGAGGAACTTGTTTTGCCGACGTACCGTTTTCTTCTTCTACTGTAAACGGATAAGCAACTATCGGAGGCCTTTCGCCTGCCACGTTTTACTGCCCTCTACAGGACAATAACAAAACTTAACAGCTCAGTTTCTTTGAACGTTGTACTTGGCACGTATTGTGCTCAGTATTATACTTTATAACTTCATGACGGAGACCCAGTGAACGGAGAAGGCCAAGCATATTAACGCCATTGTGTTTTCATCCTATTTTTAGGAAACGTCTCTTCATTTCTCTAAGTTCTGTTCACCATCTTTTTTTAACAGAAAGTGAAGGAGATGGCAGGTAAATGGTCCCAAGATGTAAGGGCCATAGATAGGTGCTAGCAAGCTGTAGCTAATTAGCTTTGATTAGTCAAACAGAAGTGGGGAGTTGCACTCTTGTGTAGTTTTTCATTTGAGGTTATTGTTGCATTAAATTTATTTTTTATTCACATCCATCAACAAAAACCTAACTCCACAGTTACACGTATGAATTTTATCTGAAAAGCCTAGAATCTTATTTATTGGCTTAGTTTTGTTGCAGCATAAATGTGACTGATAAAATAAGTCCAAATACATAATTAATACATAAGGATGTAAACATATATAAACAATATTAGTGTTGTCTTTAAATGTAAAATGTGTGTATGTCATAATCAATTATTGTAATATTTATCAATTTATATGTTAGCCTTTTACACAGATAAACATTAACAACACAACCTAACCTTACTTTATCTCTCAAGTGCCAGATTTGTAACCTGGTCAAATCAATTGGTTTTCTTAAGTTTTATTAAAAGCATGCGTGTCCAGACACCCCGCACACCCTGGACCCCCTGCAGTATGCCTACCGGCCCAACAGGGCCACCTCAGATGCTATTGCAGCTGCCCTCCACTATTCCCTTTCTCACCTGGAAAATGGAGTCTCCTACATCAGGATACTCTTCATTGACTACAGCTCTGCCTTCAACACAGTTGTCCCACACAAACTGTCCACACTGGGTCTGCACCCCACCCTCTGTGACTGGCTCCTGGACTTTCTGGCCCAGACAGACTGGGATGTGTTTAAAGCTGCAGCCACCTCAGAGGACTTTTCTGTCAGCGTACAGGATTATGCTGAGTATGTGACCGGATACATTAGTACCTGTATTGACAACATTGTGCCCACCATACAAGTCAGGAGGTTCCCCAACCAGAAGCCCTGGATAAACACTACTGCTATGGACCGCAAGCGCCTGCAGAGAGTGGTAAAGACTGCGGAGAACATCACCAGGACTCCACTGCCCTCTCTGCAGAGCATTTACCACCACAGGGTGCGTAGGAAAGCCCTCTCCATCCTCAAAGATCCAACACAGCCCCAGCACGGACTGGTCACTTCTCTGCCCTCTGGCCGGAGGTTCAGAAGTGTGAAATGCAGGATCACTAGACTGAAAAACTGTTTCTTTCCCTCTGCCATCAAACTCCACTCCTAAACAGCTGAGGAGTTTATTACCAGGAAATACGTCATGTACTGTTTACATTCTCAGTTTGCACGTGCATACTGTAATTGCACAATGACTGTTTACTGCTGCTCATGCTGCTCCCATGCAGCATACATTTTCTGTTATATTCTTTTATTATATTGCTGCATTTATTGCTGCTTAAAGTGTCTTAGATTTTGTTAATTTGTTTTACATGCATAATTGCTCAATGACTCTGCTGCACATGCTGCTCCCATGCAGCATACATTCTGTTATATTCTTTTATTATATTGCTGCATTTGTTGCTGCTTAAAGTGTCTTAGATTTTGTTAATTGTTTGTGTTACATGCATAATTGCACAATGACTCTGCTGCACATGCTGCTCCCATGTAACATACATTCTCTGTTATATTCTTATATATTTTTATTATATTGCTGCATTTGTTGATGCTTAAAGTGCCTTAGATTTTGTGTTACTTATTTATCTACTTTATCTTTAATTTGTATTTTGTGGCATTCATGTGGACGGCAAAGTAAGAATTTCATTGTACAGGGAAACACGTTTCCTAACTGTGCATATGACAAATAAACACTTTTGACTTTGATTTTGCAAATTATACATTACATTTTTTATTACGTTTTGTTAATTTAATCTACTCCTTTTAAAAATATTTGAGACTTATTTTGTTTTCAAATTTAATATCTTCCTTTATTGCAATCATTTGTAGTGTAATGTAACAAGACAGTGCAAAACATTAGTCCACATACTATAGGAACACTGGTTCAGCTTTGCCAATGAGCTCCTCCTCTTTATGATGCTGTAATGAACAGGAATGAAGAGTCAACCCCTCAGCCTCATAACACAGCCAGAGAGAGTGGCGCAGGACCCACACATCCCTTCAAAAAGCTTCAGCAACATTGTCTTGCTCTATGTAGTGGGCCTTACAAGCAACAGGAAGTGCAGAACTTTGTGATAAATGTTTCCTTCAAGGTTTATCTTTTAATGCCTTGGGAGGATGGCAGAAGTTGCAGATGGAGAGAAAGAGATTCAATTCCTGCGTACGGTAAGTGATGCTCTTTGCCTCTCCTCAAATAGTTTACAACTCAGTAAACTTATTCAGACAACAATTTACAGTAATAAGCCTTTTCTATATTAATAAACATTTACTGTGTTGGGTAAGTTTCTTTCCTTCAGCAGACCACAGACTGACAAGGACAGGTGGCTGGATTTGTTGCCATTGTTATCTATTTGTATTCCAGTGGGCACTTGATGCAGTATGTTACTGCTTTGTCATAGAGAAGAAAACCTGTGGTGGCAGATAACAGTTAGCACATTGTGTATAACAGGCAGTTCACCTCCCTAATAATTATAATTATAATTATACATTTTGACAGTGACACCATCATAGTTGCTTTGATGGGCAGTATTTACTTTTTAAACATTTCTTTAAAAAGAAATTACAATTCTGTAGATTGTTTCTGGGTCTTCGTGCCTTACTGCGTTTGTGGCTGAGACACAGATCAAGATTAAAATGGCTTCACAGCAAAAACCTCATGGTTGAAACGCTAAAATGAAAATCTGCCAAAGGTTCTTGTTTCTTTGAGTAAGTTGTCTAGGAGTCATTTTACTATAGATTTTTAAATTTGAACAGATCCACCTTAGGAGGGCTGGAGGACTTCATTTAAGTGAGACTTCATCGTGTGTTATAAAGATTCCTGCCAGTCTTAATGAAAACCACACTTTCCCTTTAAACTTCAGGAAAAAACTGAAGTGGTGCACAAGTGAGAAGTGGAGGGCATGGGCACGCCTGAGATTAAGTACGTATGGAGAGTCCATGTGCTTTGTACAGCATGTTCAGTCTGGTCCCTGGCTTACATATACTGCTGTTGATGCCAAATCTGCTCGTCTGGGGTCTTTAAAGAGAAAGGTAGAGAAAGAATCAAGCAAAATTATACATCAAATGGTCAGCAGAATGTAAATGACCAGAGCAACATCTGAAACGCATTTTGTAGTGGTATTCTCATCATGCTCTTTTCATGTCTACAGAGATCTAGATGCTCTGAGTGGGAAAAACAAATCTGCCAATCCCCCATCTCTGCCTATGGACACAGTGGTGCTCTCCCTGCAGGATCTCATTTTCTACTTCCGACCCCCCGAGGAGGAGCTGGAGCATGAGGACAAACAGTTCAAACTTCGCTCCCTCAACAACAGACAGAACCTCTTTCAAGAAGAGGTTGGGTTTGCTGCTGAGCAATGACAAATCCTGGCAATCTATGACAGCTACATGTTTGGATGTAAATTTGGTTTATTTATTTATTTCCATTCAATATTTATATTTCAGGTATTGATAAGTTTTAATTGTTTTTAACAGGGAATGATTACTCTTGTTCTGGACTGTGTTGATCGGCTCAATGTCTACAACACAGCAGCCCACTTCTCTGAGTATGCCGGGGAAGAGGCCGCAGAGTCATGGAAGGAGATAGTAAATTTGCTCTATGAATTGTAGGTACAGTATGTCCATCTGCCAATTTATTGTGATGGTGATTATATTATATCAATTACATTTTATTGTTTGTGAATATGATGCATTAACTGTCTTTTCTGCCTCTTTTCTTTTGTGAAGCTTCTTTGATCAGAGGTAATTGTGCTAACTGTGCCTTGTTCTGTGATAATCTTGACTGGCTGGTCAGTAAATTGGATTGTTTGGAGGCATCTTCAGGTATCTAAGACAACTGAAAGCTCATTTAAATGTACATTACTTGTTTGGTCCTCTCAAAGCCAAAATATGTTAAGACTGACCACAGAACTGAATGATGAAAGCTTGTGTGTTGCTCACTGGTATAGTGTTCATATAAATTCCTGTCATTTGAAATTTCAGTTTGATTGGTTACCAACAACATGCACTGGGCTATCAATATACCAAGAATATGATGAAATTTAAACTAATTCTTTTCTAACATACCATATAACCTGGGTACTGCCAATGATTATGTGTATATTGTCACGTTTTTATGACAGGGATACTGGAGGTGTTGTATTGTGTTCTGATTAAGCTCTCTCTTTTTCTTACGAATATGAGACAAACTAACCTTCATTTTTCTTGCATGTGTATTTGAAGTATGCAAAACGTTAGCACAACCTTAAGAACTAAACAGATGATTATCTTCATTTTAAAGCGCATATTTAAATAATTTCAGTTTAACACATTCATAAGGAATATTACACGATACAGAGAGTTTTTTTTTATTCTTTTTTTTCTATCTCACCCTTTTCCTCTCTCAGCAGAGAGAATACTTCAGTGAAAGAGGAGCATGTACCAGAGGGTAGAGGAGCTGATCCTGAAATAATTTGTTTCTTTAAATAACTGAGGATATAGATGCCCTGAGCTGAACATTAACGTTAGCATAAACTGCTAGTTCCATGTCACATGGTATAAAAACCAGACCACATGACCATGATGTTTCAGGTATTCAAGTTTAACAGACCTTCAATGTCTTTGTATGTGTGATTATGTTTTGGGATATTTGGGGAATTTAGGTGTTTGACATCATCTGGGTGCTTGTAGAAGAAAAAAAGTTAAACATTGTTTATGCAAAAGTCAAATATGCAGAAAACAAGCTCATCAATCACAACAGAAGCACTTAACACACACCAGAATCCAAGAGATGAAACTGAAGGATGTCAGAAATAAAATACTTTCTTCTACTTGTTGCTCGTTTTAAACAGTCATCAAGAAAACCCCCATCACTGAATCATTACTGTGCATTATGGCCTGGATTCCTAACAGGGTGGAAATTCATTTACTTAAGGGTATTAAAAACTCCATCCTGTGTTTGTCATGCTGATTATGATTTGTACATTTGTCAAGCTCTGCACAACTAAATGATCAGCTTGCCTGGTCTGAGCCACGCCGGGCAGGAATGTGTCTCAGGAGCTGCCTACATCAACATATTAACACATAGCTCACACTCCAGCACATAAACACGCACACAAATACGCAGGTGTAAACAACTCTCGCAGGGCATCATTACCACAGAAGCATGCCGATGGAAAAAGTAGCACATAAACAACAAGGGCGTCAGGACTTCTCTGTGCACAGGTCTGGACAGAGTGCTTCAAATATCAAACCTGTTGCTTTCCTCTTCAGCCTAACTGTACTTATATAATGGTTACGGGTGTATTTTACTTTTATTCACAGATTAAAGCTGATTACAAGTGGTTTCATGGTTTTAATCCAAGAGCAGCATTCTGAGCAGCTAGAATTTCATTGTACAGGGAAACATGTTTCCTAACTGTGCATATGACAAATAAACACTTTGACTTTGACTCTGACACTAATGCTCCATCATCAATCCACAGTAAATCGCCACATTGTCTTCTTGTCATCTAACCTTATTGGCCCTATATATTTCTAAATACATTGTTTTCATGTTTTGCTGTAGCTTTAAACTGCACAAATATATTTGCTAGACATCTTTAGGCAGATTTTACCAAAGCTATGTGTGTGTGAAAGCCATTTTTACATTGTGAAAACATTTGATCATCAAGCTACCACAGTCACCACATCCTTCATTTTCTCTGCCCTATATAAAAGAGCAGTATAAAGCAAGGACAACTCGGGCTTATGATTATTATTTTGTCAATACAGAAATAGCAGTGCCACTGTCTGGGAGAGTGTGTGACACTCGTGAGGTATAGAAGCAGCACTCAATCAGCAACTGTAACTAATCTACCTGCCAGTTGTATTTATTATAGAACAGCCTACTGTATCTCTTCACTTGCAGAGATATGGAAAGGCCAGTGCTAATCCCAGCTGATATACTGTATCTTCTTTTGACCTTTAGATCGTAGCTTATAATGAACTGACGCATCAATATGCAAATTTCTGTATACTTGTAAGCCTAGAGGGCAAACAAGCAGTTGTCTCCCTGATCAAGAAATATGGAGTCATATGACCAAAAAGGTCATTCTCTCTCAATCCTCTCTCTTCTGGCTTCCTTCCTGTATGACTTTAATTTGCCTGTACATTGTTTTCCCTTTTAGTCATGTGAAATAAACTTACCTTTAGTTACAACTCCTCTCTCTTTGAGGCAAAGATGACTAAACTAAACAGAAAGAAAAATAACCTGAGCACATGACCCTGTACATAAAATCATCTAGTGTTGTATAAGAAACAGGCACGTAGCCGTCTTTGGAACACTGTATTGAGATAGTGCATACAGTTTTTGTAAATGTAAAATCAGTCTGCAAAAAAATTCACTCTCTCACAGGATGATAAAATGTTTAACTGATTTCAGAAATTGACTAGACTAGGTAAAAGAACTACATAGCTTTTATTTACAGATGTTATTATGTTATTGAAAGGCTAGAGAAATGGCACAGTTGGTCAGTGCTCATACTGAGACCCCAGGAGATCTGTCTAAATATATCCAACATGACAGCAGTGTTTCTCTCAGCTCAGTCACTCAGCTTTCACCAAACCCTCACCACAACCCAGTAAATATGCTTTGGAAAACCTGAATGTCCATAAAACAAACATGAACATGGAATGTATCATAAAAGCATATACAGTCACACATACATACTTAAGGGACAAGACTCTGTGGGTGACACTGTTGTCAGACATCAGCTTCCTGTAGAATCTATTGTAATTAGCCAACCAGTTCAATTTAAACATCACATTTTTTGTTGTGCATAAAATGAACATAAAAACTGATCATGACTAAAGTGAGACTTGCACACAAACCAATTGGTTTGATAAATAGTAGTCTGCAACAAATGCTGTAGCTGTCTGTGCTATTCATTGGTTATAATGCTTCAGTGAACTTTTCAGTCACTGAGCCTCTACCCCTACAAAGTCAAAGAAAACAGTGACCTTGGGTAAAATATGAGTAAAAGCCATCTTGAGTAAATCTTTGCTGTTGTGCTTTATCAGTTTTTGCCAGGTATGAAAGCACAGTGAGACCATACTTGCTGTTAGTTTCACCAAAATCACACATATTACACTGGTTAGTCAGATAACTGTTCTGTAAGGAACTATCATATCTGACATCCTCACAACTGTAATGCATTCTATAACCAAACCTAAATTCTACATTATAAAACTTACCTGCCGCTATTAATGTCAAGCAAATCTTAATTTTCAAATAGCTCTGGTTATTCTGAAAAAGAGTGAAAGTTTAGACAAATTGATAAAAATTAAACCTCAGTAAAAAGTCATTAAAGGCATGGGTTAGATAAGTTAACCTGACTCTTACAGAATTCCCACCTGAGGCTCTTAACACCTCTCTCTGTCTCTTCTAGCGTTAGACTGTACTCAGACTTCTTAGACTCAAACAAAGTTAAACTTAGAATTAATGAGTTCTGTAGTTGTTTGATTCTGTGCCAAAGTGCAGTCTTGTCATGCAGACTGTTCTCGCTTTCTGCTGAGTTCATATCAAAGCAGCATAAAAGCACATTTTGCACAGCATTTGCTTGACCATGCAGAGTGTACAATAAATTTAAGACACTGTTAGCCATAGCAGCACAAACACCTCCGAGCTCATCGAGTCTGCAAGGAGGACATAGAGAGCAGCACATATTGTTCTAGTTTTTTCTATTATTTCCTGTTTGTATTGCTGGACTATTAATTAGTGGGTACTTGAGTCAGCATGTACATCAAGTGAGCTCAAAATCCCAGCCTAGTGACAGCTTTCTGCATCAGCACCTCATCTACAGAGGTCGTCTCCTGATGGAGTTCTGTTCAAAGCATATGCTTTGTATTGCATGTAATCTGAAATCACTGATTTTTGTCACATGTTTAAAGTTCCTCAGTTAAACAAGCTCTCATAATAGTTATTACATACTCCATGCAAACAATATTCTAAAAAAAAGCAAATCACAAACAGGCTGCATCACACCACAATTATTATTTTGAAGGTCCCTCAGTCTGCAATCCCACCAGAGTCTCAGCACATCACTCCTCCATCACAGACAACTGCACCTCATCCCTCCACTGAGCTATAATCTCATTCCAGCCAGCCTTACAGAGGGTGTCTCACACTGCATATATTTTCAGGTTATCCTACAAAGCACAAACCCATCACAGGTCAGTCAATGGTCTACAACATTATTTTGCATAGAGACAATTTTGGGTGTATGCTTTCACCAATGGGCGGGAGGCAAAACAGAAGGGAGTGACAAAGCATAGAGAGGCAAGACATGAGAGGGAGAAAGGCTGGCACCCTCTGTCAAGGGGAGAAAGGTGTGGGATGCAAATAGTGAATGAATAATATAGTGGGGATTGCATGGCAGAGCAAGAATGAGAGCAAGTGTGAAGTAAATGATGTACTTACAGCAGGTTCCTAACAGATGAAAGAGGGAAAAGGAAATTTCAGCGCATTCTCCTCCTCTGGGAGCAATATCCATCCATAAAACCCGACATTGTCAAAGCAAAAAGCACCTCGCGAAAGATTCTTAGAAGGCAGGCAGGAATAGGGTGTGTATATGTGTGTGATCAGACTCTGGCTTTAGCGCATGTATGTGTGTGCTAGCGGCAGAAAGCGACAGAGAGAGAAAGAGAGAGAGAGAGAGAGAGGCAGGCTGTAAGGAGGCAAGAGATACAGTGAAATTGTACAAGCTGACTGGCTGTTATGAACATGGGAGGATGTTGGATTGTCCAATAGTGTAAAAGATGAGGAAAGTAAGGGGGAGATGGCAACAAAGAGACAGAGACTTTTTCAATTCCTGTCTTCTCTCTCCTTCACCTATCCTTTGCTTTTTATTGTCTAAGGAGCGCTCAAACAGAAAATTTGCAAAGCTTCATAGGAGATACTGTGAGCACAGGCAACCAGTCTATATCTATTTCTCTCTTCCCTGTAAATGCAGAGTTGCTGAAAGGAGATACAAGATAAATGACCAAATCCTGCTGGGATATGTTTAGGGACTCACGGTTTAAGTTCTTCCCAAGGACAACCAACAATATGGTTATTGTTTCTTTTTTGTTGTTTGTGCCTATAACATTTTTATTGCAGTGTGTGTGTGGAAAGCAGAGGCATGAGCACTGTCCTTCCCCAATGCATGTGCATGGGGGTGGGGACCAAACCATCTTCTCAGGATTTTGCTGCACCCATGTTGCCATGGAGACTGCATCCAGTGCAGCAGATGGCTGCTCTCTCTCTGAAACAGTCCACTTAGCTTCTCATCCCTGACCTGCTAATCATAAAAGCTGGTCTTTGCAGGTTTAGAAAACCCTCTATGTATAGACGAGCTTTTGACTCAGTATGTAGACAAACTCTGTGTGTGTTCTCTATGTTTTTAAAAATCTGCATGGGAAATACTGCATGAAGATTAATCAACAAGTATAATATAATATATTTAAACATACTGCATGTATATACAGCAACATCCCAAATTGTTTCTAATAGGTGATTAAAAACTCTACTCTATTATAGGGATATTTCACTATTGGTGTACAGACCAGTCATGACATGCTCATTGTGATTACAGCCCATACAGAATATACAAGATCTCCATATGAATGCACATTACATATACTGTATATGGAAGCTATTAGAATGTGATGGCTGGAGTACAAAAGATGGTGTCAACACCCTGTGGTTCAATCCATATCTCTATAATGTCCACTTGTTGATCGTTTTCCAAACATACCCCAAGTTCTCACACTGACCTTTTAACCTCTGTAGGCAGATGTTACTTTCAGTTTATGCCAGAAGGGAAAAACAATCACTGTGTAGAGAATTAAACTTTGCTTAAGATTTAGGAATCTATTACACTGACTATTCAACTCTGTTCAAACATTCAGGACCAGAGTTAGCTACACGTCACTACATTATTATATTATATGTGAACACAACAACAGTATTATGTTTACAGTAATGGTTTATTTGTTTCGAGGGACTCTGTGTAAGGTGATACTGAAATTACTGGAAAACAG